TAGTAGCAGCACTGTTATTAGAGAAACAATTTATACATCAACTCTGGCAGATGCAGTAAAGGTGTTTGACAGAAATATCTATACAGAGGCTTTTTAGCAACTTAACAGCAATTTCAAATGACAATCCAATCACTTTCTTAGTGTATATAAATCAACTTAATCTTATAATCAATAAAATTGTGTCATCTAAACAACAACTCAAGGGTTTTAAAGAGCCCTTTAAAAAGACAAGTTTTCTTCTGATTTTATTTCTATTCTATTGGGTATGGGAAGCTTTATTCAGTCTATAGACGAACTTGGTATTAGTATTATGAATAAGACAATAATTATTTTACAAGACTGACAACTGGTGCTCTTTCCTGTCAGAATCACCGCCTGAAAGGGAGTCTAAGATCAAACAATCTTGATTTTTCTTCTTCTAAAATATAATAATAATAATAATAATAATAATGATAATAATAATAATAATAATAATAATAATAATAATAATAACAATAATAATAATAAATCATGCAATGAAACATTCTTCTTGTCATAGTATGTTGTGGTAGAGACAGGTGCAAACGTAGTATTAAAGTGAGTATTTAATAGAACCAAAGACAAAATCCAACTTACATCCGAGAGAACCCAAATGATCCAAATCTGAAGACATGAGGGAATCATAGGGCAGAACAAAGAGAAAGACAAGGTGAGGAAACAAGACAAACTGGCAACTAGTAACAGAGAGAGGAGCTTGAATACTGGGAAGTAGGGTATAGAAGCAGTGGGCTGACTGATGAGAAAAGGTGCACCGAAGGTAATGCACTTAATGTTGTTTGCCAACCGCCATAAAAATGAGAAGAAGAAGAAGGTGGCACAGGGGAACAGGAAATAATTATAGCATTAAAGATTAACTTAGATGAAAGAAACATGATACACTGGAACAGAAAATAACTGGAAACAAGGAAATCGTCACTAGAATCACTAAGGAAGGACAAACTAACCTTTTTTTTTCCATTTATTTAAGGCAAACCAAATAACGAAACCTAAGAAATACCAAAAATTACACAAATAAAATTTTTTAAAACTAAACTCAAACAACCCGACATCCCAACATTTCTATAAACCAACACTGAACTTTATGTTGACACTGGGTTATTTTTATGAAAGTAAATAAAAGTTTTGGGGGTTTTTTCATCAATTTTGTGAAGTACCTTACTATGATATTTGCTCTGAAACGGTGCTGACTTGACTAAATTTAAAGGAAAGAGCCCAATGTAGCTGCAGCTGCTTTTGATACAAAAAGAACGACGCAGCATTCCGGTGTTTTGCTGATATTCCAAATTTGAATGGCAGCAAAACAATGTTTTCGCAGATTAGCTTAGTATTTTGAGAACACACTATTTTGGCTAAAATAAAGGTCCATTTACTACTACATGAGTTTAGCAGAACGCATAAAGTAGGCAGGAGAAAAAAAAATGTTTGGAGATGAAAAGTCAAAGTTGAAGGTTGGCTTATCCTACAACTACAAACTGAACCTAAATTAAGTCAATTTTAGGATTTTAAGGACAGAAATTAAAATCCTGATCTAAAAGCTTGTTTATTTCTTCAGAAGGTCTGTGCCACAAGCATTTAAAAATCCTTCCAGCGCCTTTTTGCTATTTCAGTTTGTCTGGGTTAAAAGCTCACAGAGGAGCAACTTGGTTTGAGAGTGTGATGGAAGAAAGAACAGATGAAGGGGGGAGACTGGAGGAAAGACCTTGCTTTAACAAGCTTATCTCGCTCCGTAATTCAGTTTGGGCCATCAAAGTGCTGAGAGCTGGCGTCGCTAGGGGCGGTCGTATTTTTTGACCGCTACCTGTGACAGCAATTACAGGTTTCACTTCAAGCGTGCCTTTGTTTTTGTGGCAGACTTGACTGCTTGGGTTGAACAAGATTACCTCTCTGCTCTGCAACTGGAGCATAATCAGAGCCTCCTGATGCGAGGTGTCATGCCCCTTAGTATCAACCTTACAGCATCTGCTACCATTTCCTCCTTGCCCCTTTTTTCCAGGGGTCTGTATTGACATTACTGTCACTGCAACAAAGCTGTGGCTTTAATATATTCATATACATCACACAATTTTTTTTCTCTCTCTGCTGCCACAGCTGAAACGGAAATGAGCTTTCCGTTTATATGCAAACGGAGGCGAATGCAGAATTTATTTGATGGGAAAACTCCATGAATAGTGAATTCACATCAAATGAAGCATGTATATACACAGTGCAGCATCTGCATAAATGCATGGCTGTAACAGCAGCATTATTAGGTGTGCACACGCAAGCTGCCGTCCTACTTTTCTTAGCTGCGCCTTTCAGAAATGCAGAGTTAGGTGCTAAATCACTCGGGTGCCTTTCAAAGAATCAAACTTTGTTTTTTCTTTTGCCTTCTTACATACTCAGCAGGAGGTCCGCATTCAAGAAAGCATCCACTGTGCCCCAGGAGTGAACCTTAATCGTCAAATAAGTGGGAAAGGTCTTCTGAAGTGTTGCTGAAACTTTATGAAAGATGAACACTCTTGATCTTATATTCACATCGCCATTTTGAGTACCACCAATTTTGTGTGGGATGCTGTTGTGCTCTGCAATATGTCAAGACCTAAAAGGATCCATGAGTTCATCCTGCAGCAGTATTTTTCTAACAAAACCCTTTTTTTTTTTTTTTTTTGTTTTTGAGCATGACACAGGATTTGTTGCCACATGACCAGGCCAATTAGTTTGATGTATTGTTGTCCCAGGATTTTATGTAGCATATTCTGCTAAAAAACAAATATAAAAAATAAAACCTTATGTTTGTCTCGCACCTCTTTCTGTGGATCTAAAAGACATGTCTATGTGAAGACATATTTTCCATCTTTTGGAGGTGGCAAATTGGTGCTGCTCTGATTTGTCTGATAGTTTAAATGCCACAGAATAACTGTCTAACCTATCAACATCACCAAGCGGTGCTATTAAATATTTAAGATCTGTCCTCTGATATTAATGAAAAAACAAAGCCTGTCTCCAGAGACAAGACGAAAACGACATCATCATTACTGCATGATCGTTTTACACATTGAAACGGTTTACGTTTCCCCATACTCATATGACATAATGTACTTGAAAACAATAATCATTTTGTGTGACGTGCTGCAGAAAGGTGAAGGAATGCAGTAACTTGCAAAATATCTATACCTCCTGAAATCTTTCTGCAATTTCTGTTGCAGCTACTCGTATATTTCAAGTGACAGATCAACACAAAAAGAAGTGCTACATTGTTCTCGCAATTGTTTTAGAAATAAAAATCTAATAAATTTTCAACACGCATTTTTGCAACCCTGTGTCAATAAAATGTAGAAAAATATTTTATGGCAAGTAGAGCTGGAGATCTCTTAGGCGTTGTCTTTGCTAGCATGACACATTTTGGGCCACGACAAAATATCTCCATGGGGATACTTTGTGTTATATTCTGACTTTGAAAGTATGGATTTTAGGCTTTCTGAATATATCAGGAAAATAAATTGAATGAATAAAAGAAATGAAGATATGGCCATACTAATGTTGTCTCTCTGCAAACATGCGTTAGAAAACAGGCCTCAAAATTTCAGAAGAACTATAACCAGGATTAATGAGCTACCTGGGTCGTTGACAAAATCTTTTTGTTTACATAACTTTGCAAAATCCCACTTCCCAGTGTTGACTGTCTAGAAATGTGTTCAGACAAATCACCATTTTTCATAAGAGTTTTTGTCAAGCCAACCTAGCAAGAAATATACTGTAATTTCTGAACAGTGAGCCTGTACTTTTTTCACGCTAGTGATGAGTCGGTCGTGAACATATCGACTTTAAAACCTGACACTTTCAAGTGAACGACGGGGGTTACTTCCAAACTGAGAGCCTTTTTTATGAAAGCTGCACAACCACCCGGTTGGCAGCATAAAGGGTGAGAGAATTGCTAAGCGGCAGGGGAGGGGCGACTGATACAGCGCAGCGAGCGCACAGTCACTGCATGAGAGGGGGCGGGTGAAACTTCAGGTAAGTTTAAAGATGTGAGAACTACCTAAAACGCCACGTTGTTTGCAACTCACGTACTTAACGCAAACTTTCAAAAACTCAACTCAGCTTTTAGACTGAGGCAACATGCTGGGTGTTTATGCTTAAAAGAAAACACAGCAAATTAAGAAGACATTTTATAATTTATCATGTAGAACCTTGTTGTCCTGGTATTTTTTCAGAAGCTGATGCTTATTTCTTTGCTGTGCCACATAAAGAAATATTTTATATTGTTAATTATATTGACATTTTTTGCTGAACAGTTCAAGCTAAATCAAGTTTGATGGAGAGTCAAATGTTGAGAACTTGATAAAGGTCTTTCTTACACATTCATGTGATGTTGCCAATTTTATTTCTGTTTTGCTTCAGTTGTGTCATGACAACCACAGTGAAAATGTATAAGTTAAGCAAAACGGTGGGAATATAAATGCAGAATACTTTGCTCTCACTGCTAACAATGGCAGATATGACCATTGTTTGCTCTTTACAGTTTAATATATATTTTAGCCTCAGACAGGTAGTGATGAACTCTTCAGGTAAAACAAAAAACAAACAAAAATAATAAAATTTTAGACTGCAAAGCACTTTAAGTGTTCAAGGCAACAAATGAGATCCCATTAAGAATTAACCCAAATGGTTAATGCGTATGAGAAGTTGCTGCCGCATGCAGTTTCTGTTTTGCTGAGGCCAGGCTGTGGACTTAGCCTTGTTGTTCAATATTCTGTGAATAATTGAAACTGACTTGAACTGCACCCAGTGTCTTTTCTCAGTAAATCTGCCGATGACATTGAAGGGAAATAAAAAGATGCTGACTGTTTTGTGAGAACTGGGCACGTCAGTTCACTTCCTAACTTGATTAATTTCTCCAGCTATGAAATCCATCATTCTGTTTTGCTTTTCTCCCTTTTTTTTCTCTGTTTCACTCACACTGTGGTCTTTGCTTCTCTTAGGTGGACCTGCTTGTGCCAACCAAGGTTACAGGGATCATCACACAAGGAGCTAAAGACTTTGGCCACGTCCAGTTTGTTGGCTCATACAAACTGGCTTACAGTAACGATGGAGAGCGATGGAGTGTATATCAAGATCAGAAACAAGGAAAAGACAAGGTAAGTTGTTGTTTTGCATCTGCATAATAACCGCAGTGTTTCTTCATGAACAGATCTTCATGTCAGCATAAAATAATAGTAATAATAAAAATAAAAAACATAGAAAAAGACTAATGGCATAATATGGATCTAGGTACTCTGAGAACAATAGGTTTGAAATATTTATAACCCGAGCACAGACAAGGATATCTTGTCAGAAGCCTAAAAGCATAGAATGAACAGAAACCCTAGGCAGAAAAAAACAACAAACATCAAAAAAGACAGCTATTAGCTGGGAGGATGTCCATTATGGAAGCTGCCTTCTGCTCTTCACCACTCGTTTGCATCTTCTTATCTTGGGCTTGAACACATCCTGCCTGCTCTGTGCTCTTGCCTCTGATGGGTTTGGGATTAGATAAGACCCCACTGTCAGCCTGGCTCAGGTGGTACTATGCTGACAGGCTTGTTTATGGCTCTTCAGCGGAGTTCACACGTCTCTCGCAATCGTCCATAACCACAGAGACAACATGGAGCTCCTGCAGCCTTTCTACTCATATCACGAAAGGTGCAGCCACAGAATTTATGCTGAACCTAAAGCCTCTTGTTTTTCAGACATGCTGCTGGCAGGAGATGTGCTAGCTTTTCTTGCTATCAGTGTTATTAAAAGATAAACCTTCTTTATCTTGATGCAATTCTTATGTGTTGCCTGCAGGAATCAAAGTGCAAAATGCACATATACCTAAATGTAATGCAGACTTATTTTGGTTGCATTCATGCACACTGTATTTGTGAATGTAAAAATTCCTTTTTCAAGGTTTCCTAGTTATTTGGGTCAACTTAATAAACATAGAGCAGTCCTTAACAGAGTAAATTGTTCCAGTCAGTTTATGCACTTATCCTATTTGTGTGCACAGTCCTGCAGCTCATGCCAGGAAGCATTTCTTGGCCTCTCAAGTTCAAATAGGCTGCTTGATGATTTGATGACTCTCGTGAGAATCTATGGCTGCCAGTGCATACTCAGCAGGATTTTCACAATTATGAGTATGGAATGCTTTCTGCGAAAACACTTGGCAGACGAGGCTAAAATACCGGTGACAGCTCAAAAAGGCAATCATTTCTTTTCCATTTTGATCTAGGCACATTTCAATTTATTTTGCAAATCTCTCTTTGTGAAGATTACTAATCTGCTCTTCCATTATTACACCATTTCGAGCAGGACCTATGATACTTAAGAGTATCATACTTTGAGCGGGGAGGCATGTTTAGCAAGACATCTGAGAGCCAAGTGGCTGTTTAACTCTATGATTCCTGAAGATGTTTTCTTCTGTCAGTCAGCTAAAGCAGCCATTAATGCTGGAGGACACATTTTGCTGTTGGCCTCTCGAGGCTCCTCCTGGCGCTTCACAATGCTTGACTTGGCAGGGATATACTGGGAAGGCACGCGTGCCGGTGTGTGCGGCTGAGTGTCTGGCTCTAACACAGTGGTGGAGGCTTGTAAGTATTCTTCTCAGCTTCCCCCTCCGGCTCCTGTGTGGCAGAGGCTGCAGGCAGTTAGATCTAGATTGAGAGAGGAGGCTCTGTTGGAATACAGATGCTGTCAAAGCAAGCCTCAGCAGCACACACACAACAGACCTCTACAAAATCTATAGAGTAGCTTGTTTGCCTTCTCTTTGCACACAAATCCAATAAAGCCACACTGGTAGCCGAGACAAGTTACAGCACTGCCCACAATTTAAACATTACAAAATTCCTCTTTTTCTTCAGTACACAAACTTCCCAAGCCTACATCACTGTGTTGACTAAACCTGCACTACTGCTTTTTCATGACAGTCAGTATTTACACAGCCTGACAACGGGGAGCCAACCAGGCACAAAAGTAATTGATTTGTGTTTAATAGTGTTTTACGAGTGGCATGAGGTTCATTAGCCATTAGAACCCTCAGTTTCCTTCAGGTTAGAGGTTAATTACAAATATAATCATTGAAAAATTTCACTCTGATGGTCATTTTTGGGTTTTGATGTTCCTTGGCCTCAGAATATGTTAAATTAGAACACTTACCAGGCACTCAAAGGAGTGTTTGCAGAGAGAAACACTGTAAAGCTCTAAGATTGCAGACCATTGTTGATAAAGTTGAGTTTGTCTGTTTCAATGTAGCCATGTCAGAGAGAAGCAGAGCAGAGGGTGAAACAGATTGGAGGAATCTGATCTCTTAACTTCACCAGCAGGTTTAAAAAATGGAAAGTGGGTGCTACAGTTGTTGTCCCAGAGGTGCAGAAAGCCTGTCCTTGAATCTGTGATTTTGACTCCGACAGCCAGGAAAATCAATAGCTGGAAGCTGTGTTATTCCTGGTTTAGTTTGGGGACACACAATGCATGGAACCCCCCTTTTTAATTCACAAAAATATGGTTATTGTGGTCTAATGTCAGTACCACTTTTGTGATGGTTCAGTTACAAGTTATGTAAACGTGTTCATGCTGATAAGCATAGCATCTTATGCTTCAAGAAAAATGTGGTATATTCTGGGATTTCAGTCAAATCTTGGCCACTCGGCAATATGTATAGGAGTCAAAATATAGTATGCGGTGTGTAATAAAACCAAAAGTCAAATGTTTTAAGCTAACCTGAACTTGAGTTATCGAAGTGCTCCAAAGATGTTAAGATAAATAGTAGACCTCATATTAAATACAGCACCAATCTGAATTTTTTTGCCAAATTGTGATCTTCAGGTTTCATATAACATTTGTCTTTTTATATGAAGCATTAGATAGACAGATACGGCAATAATCTTTTAACTAGTAGGAGTAATTTGGTTAGATATTCCCTACGCTGTAAACTGTTATCTTAATTTAATTATATTTATGCTTAATTATGCTGTCAAAATCTAAGTAAAAGTGCCTAAATGTCTGTAACATAACTTGCTATTTTGGATTCATTCCTCAAAAATACTCAAGTATCGTGGATGTATTAAAACATTCCTTTTCCACAAAAGTAGTTTGTATGGGTTGAATTATTCATATGTATATCAATTTCAGCTTCAAACAATGAAAAAAGATTACTTTTTTTATTTATTTTTATTTAACTTTCTGGCTGCATTCCACATAAAGTATTTTATTTTGTTCTTTAAAGTGCGAAGTGTCACGTTTTATGTTTGGAAACTCATGTTTGGAGTTTCCAAACTCAAAATGAGTAACTATGTTTATTAAACACAGTTATAGATCAAATTTTTTTGTTTTACATTATCAATTTCCTCGTGTTGCCTTCCTACAGACGTGGTCATTATTGCAATCTTTGCTTGTCACTTTTGAAATACCAAAATACTTATTCATACACTGATTACAGCATCATTAGGCCTTACTGCTGATTGCAATGATTATGATGATTAACGTGGCAAACCATGTCCATATATTGATAAACTGCCTCCTCTAAAAATGTCAGAATACACTGGTAGACGTTTCATGTTAGGAGATTCACTTTATTTCAGCAATCTAAACATCTGGTCTGGTTTTAAGAGAAGACTTATTCTATGAAATAGTTTCCTTAAATATGTTGACAAAACAAAATACTTTCTAATTTTCCATTGTTTATAACTGTCTTTATCTCCCCCACTGTTGTTCTCATTATCTTTTTGTTTCACATATCTGTCTGGAGAGAATCTATTTTAAAGCCATTGCTTCTGAAACTGTGCACATCTCCAGACAGTCTAGAAAAGGACCTTGTCATATTTCAAGGATCTGCAGGTTTTATTGCTGTCCGGCCCTTCATTCTGTGCTTTGATATCCTAGAGATGTCACCTTACAGTCATGGCGATGCTCCGCGTGACTCATTTTACACCTTACACCACCGAAGACTTTGACAAAACATACTTTTGCTTATCATAATATGAATTATCAGTGCACATATTGTGCATATGTTTCCTTGTATTAAATAGACTTAATGCAAGCTATGTTATACAGGGCTGGTCCTCTTAAATATGTGCTGTTTCTTATAGTGAGAGTTTTCATTAGACCCGATGATTAATCAAAGATTGTCATAGTAAATGTCACGCTCTATGGGATATTGAGAGCTCTTTTAAGCCCTGCTTCTTTTCAAAATGGACCAGGTCCAGTTCAATAGACACTAATTAGGTCAGGGTGCTACCATATGGGCTTCTAGGCATAGGAGACCTTTACTAGGCCTGTAATGACTCAGCTCTTACTTGGTTGTTTGTAATGGAAATAAACGCAGCAAATTTACGTACTTGTTCAGAAAAAAGAAGTCTAAAAGTTTACCTTGTATTTGTGGACAGTTTGCTGTATTTTTACCTAAAATCTAATCCCAATTTTTTGGGAGGGAGGAATAGACTTGATGCAAAAAGAGTTTATTAAGTGAACTGAAAAAGTTAGTTTTAAAGCTGAAACTCAGTGGAAGTTATGTATATCTTTTTAGTTACATTTGAAAAAACATGGGTAAACAACAGGGAAATTAAAATGTCTGCAACTATATTTGCGCAGAATGTCACAATGCATAATTATGTGAATACTTAGCATCTAAATATAAACAGCAAAGCATAAGAACACCTGCATAAGGGATAAAGAGGAAGAAACAAGAGAACAAATTGTGATGATGTGTTCTTGCTTAGATATAAATAATCTGACAAGTTGAATTTGACACGGAAGAAAGATTATGATGAAAAGTATGAGAAAAGAGTGACCTAAAGTTCTTGAAAACATAGAAACAATAACATTTATGAAGCTGTTTGTTGTTTACAATGTCTCTCAGACCAAAACAATAGAAACTCGCGCCACTCATTTGAAAGTAAAAACCTTTAAAATCTTGACAGTTACTTCATGTCACCTACTTACAAAGAATGCACAATTAAAGAGTAAAAAAAAGTTTCACAGCAACACTATCTTTCACATTACAACATATTTATGAAGATATTTCAAGCCTTAACTATGTTCTAAAGGGCAGGCTGCTACAGTGGCCCTAAAGTCTTTGAGTTTTAGACCCATCAAAGACAAAAATTGAGATCTTGTTCTGCAGCCTCTTAGTTTGCTTTTAGACACGCCACAAGCAGAGACAGTTCTAGACCAAGTTTATTCAGGAGGCAGTTTCAGGATGGCACCAGTGTTCCTTCATGAGGCCATCCTGAAGGATGTATTGAAAGTGCCTAAACTCATAGAATATATAAATAAAGAAATAAACGGGACTCAAATTCCTTCTGCTGATTGCCAAAACAGGAAGAGATTTAATGCTCATCCCCAGAACCAAAACATCACATTTACATCGTTACAGAAATCCAACATCTCGTGACTTCTTCTTTTGACATCAGTTTTTTTAATAAAGTTCCAACTCTTTTGGTGTTCCAGGCCCGGTTCTTTCAGGTGCAGCAGCTTAAAGTTAACATTTTTCCTCTTTTAAGTGATTGTCATTCCACTTCTCTCCAAATATGAATTCCTTCCTAACTTCTAGGTCGGACTGACCCAGTCCATTTGACACAGTACATTTCTTTTAGGTTAGCCAAACAATTTTTAACTATTTATATAATTATATTCCTCTACAATAGCACAAAAAATTTAACAAAAATACATTGCAATGTTTAAATGTTTCATAATAGTTCCACTTGCAGCTCCAGAGCTGAAGGTTACAGAGCTCTGATCTAGCAGATAAAAATTGTGAACCTACCCCAATACGGCTAAACCTAAAAGTGCCTTCAACAATGAATACAAAATCTGAGTTTTGTATTCATTGTTGAAGAAAAACTGTGACAGTAAAAAATTTAATTCTTCCAGGGCAGCAAATAATTACAGTTTCTGTGCCAGCAAATATCATCAGAAAAAAACTTTAGTATCATCTTTTCAGTTCAGGGTCATAACAGGAGCCAGGGCCAGCCCTATGCAGGCACTGGACCCACCAGTAAATCTGACCTGTGAGCGAAATAACAAATATATTCACAGCTTTTAATAAAGAGTAATTTAAAAATAGATTTGGATTTAACAGCGAGCTGGAGAAGAAGTGTTAAAATTAAAAAAGTGCAACCTCTCCATTGAACTTTCATTAGCGTTTTTAAAGCATTTTAGATCGGCAGAAAGCTTTTTACACAATAATTTCAGAGAAGTATTTTAATACAAAATGAAACTTTTGGCAACTGTTGAAACAGCTGTCTTGACAAATTTGACAATTTACTCAATTCACAAGACTTTATCCCGTCTTTTAATTTTTACAAGGTTTTTTTTTTTTTTTTTTTTTTTTATGGTGAGCCTAAGGGAATTTAGATATCTTCTCCAAGGCTATAATAACCTATAACTCATCCACAAATATTTTGACAGGTTCAATTTGATTTCTTTTGTCACGTCTTTTTTTAAATATTATTTTAACTGTTGAAGTGCAAAATATGCTCCACGCTTTACGATTATTCACTCTAACCACACAAAATCTGAATCACGGTTCTGCCAAATTTCTCATGCTCTTATGAATATTTGAAAGGGAATTAGCCTAAAATGAAGTGAAAATATGTAAATCCCAGTTTTCAGCACCTGTTTGGATTTATCCCACTGCTTTTCTATTCCACACCAGACTGAATCCTATTACATCCCAATTACACAGGCATAATAATAAGTGTTAAATTGACATTATCAGATTCTTGAATGAAGAACCCCCTGCAGATGCACTTATTTCTAATGTACTTCATCTTGCTGTCATTAAGCACACATTGAACCTTTTAATAATAAACCAGAGAGCTTGTGTCCCTGTGTGATGAATATGTATTAAGATGGTCAAACCTTAAACTATTTTTAAAAGATTTATTAAAGGGAATATTCATAAATTTAGAAAGGGACTATATAAAGATAGTTTACATGACATGGATGAGGAACAAAATGTGTTGCACAGAGATAATGATTATGGTCAGCACATTAAAATGCCATTAAAACATACAGATGCATCTCAGTATACTGAAGTATTGTTGAAAAGCAAACATTGTGTAATTCAGTTGAAAAACTAACATATACAGACTCACCACAAAGTGATTTGTGGTAATTTTTAAAAATCATATATATATATATATATATATAAAGTGCACATACTGAGCATTACACTACTTGTGTGTATTACAGTCAGTACATCTAACCCCATGTTGCCTTCTCTTTCAGGTCTTCCAGGGCAACTTTGACAACGACACACACAGAAAGAATGTGATAGATCCCCCAGTCTACGCTCGGTTTGTGCGGATCCTTCCCTGGTCATGGTACGGCAGGATCACTTTGCGTGTAGAAATACTGGGATGCACAGAGCAAGAGTGATGTCTCTCCCTTCTCCATCTTTCTGTCAATCATCCCCCTCTTCTTTGGAATACTGGAATATATCAAGCAGTTGCTAAAACATAAACTGTTCAACCTGTAAAAAGAAATTAATTTCCAATATTTTTTTTCAAGGAATAAGCATATAGGTTGTGGTGGGGTCTTGTTAGTTCTTTTGTACAATGATTTCAAACCTGCCTCCTGTTTCACTGTTTCAGTTTCCTACTTAAAAGCGTGATCTTTGTCTTTTTATTCCTCTCAAAAATTGCCATCCTGTTTGGAATGAACTTCTGTAAGATATTTGGGTCAGGGTTAGGGGTCACAATGGGGTCTCACTGTGGTTTTACTGTGGAAGCTATTGTACAGTGTCACTTTTTAACAAAGACGTTAAAACTGTCTGTCGTGCTTCATGGGACATTATTAACCAACTTTGTATCATGACTAAACTGTCCAAGGAAGAAAATATAATGAAACATGTTTTGAATTTCATAATTGAACCCCCTTCAAGCCATGAATACCTTCAAAGGAAAACATTCATCACAATATTATTGACATACCTGTATTATATGTAAAAGATTAAGAAACTGCATGGTACATGAATTATAAATGTATATTATGACAAATCATGAAAAACCTCCAGTCCTGAGAGCAAATAGCTTTGAATTAGGGACATATTTTTATGTGCATTTTTAAGTAGTTCTGACACATTACTTTAAACTTATAAAGATTAGTGCTTTGTGAGACAACAAGCAAACACTGCGGGTAAAAACTTCTACTGCAGCACTTACACTGAAGCTTACGGGCTTTATTTATTTATCTGATTCGTTGCTCCCTATTTCTGATTATAGCTGGTCTTTTTCTAAAACATGCTCATTCCTTTTTTCTACTCTCTTGTCAGATTTATGAAATGTGTTGTAACGTCCTCATGTTGTCTTGAAGAACTAAGATGAATTGATTCAAGAGCTCAGGATAGATATCATTCACAATACTCCCACATATATTACCACTTGAATTATGTTTGGCCAGCTAAGCATACTATGAATTTATTGTACACAGAAAATAGCAGATGAGGGAAAGAAATTACTAAAGTCATCAGCATAATGTACATACATCAAATAGTAAAGTTTTTTATGTCTTATAATGAAAAGAAAATATTTGCTAATTTTCAAAAGAAAACAAATCAGGACTGTGTTAATAAAAGTGTGTAATTTGATCGAACATTGATGATGGGCTATACCAACAATAGAGAACTCTAGTGTTTATTGCAGGGTACCTAAGTTTTAAGGTTTTGTGTTAAAACTGTACTTTTATGTAAAGTAATGCTTGCAGGACACAAAACTACATAGAATAATTACATAGGCATTACAGATGTGCTATAATACCAGTCGGGTCAAAAGTTTATAACTTTGTTGCACTATTTTGTATTTTATTTGCATTTCACAAGAAATGCACTGCTTTGGGAGAAACAACATCATTACAGCATCAGTTTTCCACATATACATGCTGTTAATAGGCGACGAGATCTCCAACTAAGAAAGGCTGACGTGTTTTTCACAAAGGACCAGGCAGAATACATACCACACACACATAGGTCCTAAATCGCCGCAGGTATTACTTATTTTCATACTATGTTGTGTAGAAATTCGGCCTACACCAACAAAGATTCCCTCACCTTTGCAGACTGAGTGACATAGAGGCTCTCTCAGCATTGGGTAAAACCTGTTTTTATTAATAAAATTATTTGACCAATTGGAGGTACTCAGATTTTGTACAAAGTAATAAAATTTCATTAAAAATGGGTAGATAATAAGTATAACTTACAAAACTATGATGGTACATCGCAGCAAAATTAAATTACTGTGCACCATCAGAACTGAAATTTCACACCCTTTATCCCAATACAAATACACTGTACAAATGGAGACTCATCATATGGAAAACATATAGTGTACTTCAGAGATTAGATTGAGCTTGATGTTTCAGGAAATGGTTTTCATTTCTCTACCTTTCAAGTCGAGAAAAGTACAATTTTTTATTATGTGACAAATTAAGAAACAGTGTGATTGTTTCTTTTACATTTATGCAGTTTTTTTTTTCTGCATAAAGTCGCTTTTACTGTTTGGGTGAGAAAAAAAACACGCTTTGTTGGCTATTCTGTAGTTAAAAGTTGGTCTGCCAAAATTAGTGAGTGCTACATTCAGATATGTGCCACAAATGATTTGATTTATGGTTCGTCGGCTCTCAAAAGTTCTCTCAACAGCCAAATAGTTTGTCTGCATGTTTTTCTCTAATGACCACAGTTGTTTACATTATTTCATCTGAAAACCTGCAAGTTAAAATTGACTCCAAACATTTTCCTACTGAAGTCTATTCTAAAATAATCAAGACAAGTCCAAAATTTCAATAAGATTTACGTAGTGTGGTTTTGTGCCAGGAAATTTTTTTGAAGTTAAAAATCTCCCAGTAATGTTTGTAATAAGTTGGAAAAGTGGAGCTGATCCGAGCATACGCAGTATATTAAACACTTGTGTGATACCCGTCTACTTTGTAATGTCGCTGATATTAAAGGAATGACTTTGAACAATTCACTTGTGTAAGTTACACTGAACGCCTTTGCTGTAGATTGTCATTGTGTGAAAACTGTTCTTAGTGTGAATCAGTGACTGCCACTCTGTAGGTTTGTGGGCAGAGAATAAACGCATTAATTGTGTCTCACAATTTTTTGGGCTATTTAAATTGTGATCCGTAAATGCTTTATTGCCAAATAACTGTCGTGGCCAAAACCTGCACTGATCAATCTTTGTAACCAGCTTTTACTTTCAGCATGTATGATGGAGCAGGGCTGCTACAAAGTTTCCAGGACGTTTGCATGATGTACAAATGAAAACAGTACAGTATAACAAAGATGTCCACCCCACACAATCTTTCTTCATATATATCTGCAGTGTAACTAATTTTTACTTTACACCTCCTGTCAGTTTGTCTTGCACATTGTAAAACTTCATTTAACATGTTCAAAATGGAAGCAAAGTGAGAAGCCATGCTGTCTTTGTATTTCTGTGTCATCTGTTCACAAATCGTTTCTTACCTCCTATGTCTACATCTAGAAAAGTAAGCAGTTTGAACACTGGTTAGGTTTAATCCTGCATATAGGGGGGAGAGACTGTACAGTAAAAAAAAATGTTGCTTCAAACAAACTCTTTCAGTTTGACAAATAAAAACATATGTGTGAAAATAGTGTTGGCTCTTCTTTCAACTTGACAACGTACCTTATATGTATTCAAATGTATTCATACTTTTTTCTTCAAATTTTGTCATGTTGCAAAACACAAACTTTCATGTATTTTGTTGAGTTTTTCTCTGCTAGACCAATATAAAGTACTGCATAATTGTATAGGAGAAGGGTGATGACACATCCATCCATTCATTGTCTATAGCTGCACCTCACTCAGTCTTTGGGAGAGAGGCGGAGATCACCCTAAACGAATGACTAGTCCATCTCAGGGCAACACATAGGACACATAGGAGGAACAACCACACACGTAATAGCAATTAACAGAGACCACTTAACACAGCAGTCATGGTTTTGGACTGTGGAAGGAAACCAGAGAACCTCGCGTCAACATGCACAGCGCAGAAAGACCAGGATTTGAACCCAGAGCCTTCTTGCTGGAATGCAACGAAGCTGGAGATGATGCATGGTTTTCAAACTGTTTACAAATGAAAATCAGAATATCCCCCTTCAGTACGGTACTTCTACCTAAAGACTTTTGTGAAATCAAGAAATTACCATAAGGGTATATAGAGTCCAGCTATGTGGAATTTAATTTCTGTATACTGTAAGTACAGGTATTTGAAGGTATAGGTATTTGAAGCCCTCAGAAGTTTCTGAGAAGTTGAGTAGATAAGCAGCATCAGAAAGACCAAGATGCACAGCAGACAGGGTTGACATAAGGCTGGGGACATGTTGAAAGAAAGGTTTGGTTATAAAACAATTTTCCAGGTTTAAGATATCTCATAGAGCTCAGTTTAATCCATCATCTTAAAATAGAGAACTGTACAGCTGCACACCTCCCAGGACAGGGCCGTCCACATAAACTGACAGGCCAGGCAAGGACAGCACAAATCAGAAAAGCTTAGGGGAGAGACTGTCAACAATACAACTATACAACTAGATTTGCTGTTCACTCAACATCTAGGCCTTATGAAAGAGTGGCACAAAGAAAACCTTAAGAAGTCATATTTATAGATTGTCTAGAGCCATGTGTGGCAAAATGGGTGCAGGGAAAATGTGTAAAACTTGCCTTCAAATGTTTTTTTTTTTTTTTTTTTTTTTTTTGTTCATTTGCTGCTGTTAAAGAATTACAGTAGTTGCTTTTGATTTTACTTAGCCTGTAACCAAAACCTGCTTCTGGCTATTTTCCCTACCATGCACTCATAATAGACTGACAAACACTTTCAAACTAAAAGAAAATGTATTTCTATCCCTTTTATACACATAAGGGCAGATTTGACTGTTGCATAGCAGGAAATGCAAATATTGGGCAGTTAACTTTGCTAATTCTTCTCTGCCACTTAGTTATCAGCTCACTCCATTTACACTGTGGTTTTATTAAAACATGTAAATCTGTGAAAGAGTCTTCCTGAAATTCAATCCAATTAGACAGAGGTGTAATAGACGGGCAGTAATTTCAAGTGAAGAACAGAGCACTTGAAGTGCTTTTTTGTGGCTCAATAGCCTAAAGGAGATAGGTTTGATTAGCACAAAGATCCTGCTCTGTAAACTAACTTGATTTAAGCACAGAATGCAACACAACTTGATGATCCATAGACTAGGTAACTAATGAAACAAATCCAGCACCAAGAATCCTGCAGCAAGGACATGGTCATAAGTTTTTACCAAACCCACAAAACATGTGTGGACTGAACAATCAAGCTCTTGGGACCTCTACTGAAACTCCACATAAATAAAAAATTGAGTCCACAGCTCCACAACCCGGTTAAAGGCCATGCTTTTTGTCTGATTCAAGTCTATTCTAGAATTGCATCTCTCAGGGTGGCTGCATGTTAGCATTGATATGTTACCTAGAGTTCAAATTTTTTTCTTCTTATTTAAAAGCTTTGATTTCTGTGTTTCTGTAAGAAAATAATTTTTTTTTGACAATTATTCTCTCTGGGTTTAGAAGCTGTTCAGCTGGGTGGACATTTGCAAATATACTTCACTTTGCTCATTTGTTAGGATGATATGTAATCATAGCAAAAATATAGTTTTGTAGTTATCAATAGTGACCCCACTGTTACCAACTCAGAGACTTCCTTCCTCTGTTTAGCAACATTTCAAAAAAAAAAATGGCACTGGCTAAAAACGAAATCTAAAAATTATAATCTACTATCTGTGAGAAAGCTGCACTTGGTGCACTGACCTATGTAAGATGACAGATCATGTAAGACAAAACTTTATCCCACTTACTTGAAGGTCTAACTGTGACTTTATCATGACCAAAACCGCACTTGTTAAAAACAGAAAGCACTATTTTTAGTGCTTATCCTAAATTCAGAAGATATTTGTTTGTTTTTTTAAAGAATATCAGTAAAATGCAATGACATTCCAATTTCACAAGCCGATGCTTTATTCTCAATTCAGTATTAGTTTGCTACTAATTGTCATCACCAGGAAAACTAGATATCAAGGTTCAAGGGTGTCATATTTCACTGAAAAGTTTAAATAAACAAATGTCCATGTGCAGTGAAATTCAGTGTTTCGGTGACCAACACATCAACTCTGTTAGATCATCGTTAAAATTAATCAAGCACAGCTGTGTTAGATCAGAAAAAAACAAAACGAGGATCTGCTCCTCGGTGGAGCCTAAACCAGCGCAGGAATCCCCTGCTGATGAATGGTGGATGCTCATGTCGGTGTGATTTGATTACCGTCACGTTGTCCCAGTTCAAATTTAGATTTTTTTCCTGCATACTTTACAAAATCCCTTTCGATCATTCCTGGATCAATCTTGGATCATCGAGCCAAAGTTGTGAAAACTTATATTTTCCCATGGCGACTCGTAAAATGACGAGCGAGTCTCAACACGTTAGGCGGTGCCGACACTACACATGACCACAGCACCTTGGAGTCTATCAGTGACAGCTCAGGTCCTGCCAGTTCGGTAGTTATAATGTTTTATACAATAAGTGTCATCAATGGAAAATTTTAAATATTTTGAAGGGATGAGGAAAATTCATTACTTTTTACTACCTTTAGTTACTGGCCTGCATTCTTATTTTTACTGGCCTTAAATTGAGCTAATTTAATTTACTACCTTTTATCACCCTGTATAATGGGCAATATAAGATTGTTGACTGTCAAGTTGGATGAACTCCAAATATCAGGAATGCAGTAATAAGTGTTTTACTGAAGTGGACAAGCAGTCGTAACATATCCAACATCCCAATTTGTACATGGCAAAATCTGATGTTTTTAACCATGCCTCACTCTCTGCTATACTACCAAGGTTTCAACAATTTGTCAGCTGCTCCACCAGAGAAAACAAGACATTGGATTTGTTTTAAGCAAATGTCAAGCATTCATATATCTCCAATTCAAAAGCTCCTCTGGGAAAATCAGATCACAGTCTTGTTTTTCTATGCTCGCCATATGAACAAATATTCAGAGATAACCTGTGAAGAAAAGGACAGTGAAAAAGTGGTCAGAAGAAGCTGAAGAAGCCCTGCAGGGTAGTTTTGAGATTACAGACTGGATTTCTCTTTGCCAGCCATATGAAGAGGACATAAGTACTATGACTCAGTGTGTAGCTCCTACAGTCCTAAGCTTTGTGGGCTGGGTTGTGTGCCTACCCTCATTTTTTCCTCCTTGTTCGGGTTATTGTGCTACGGATCGGAACCACATTCCATTTCCTCGTTCCTGTCTCTCTAGGCTCCATCTCTGCTCTTCCAGAGTATGATGCATGGGATTCTGCTTCTCATGCACATTTGAGTTTACAAGTATACATACATGTAATGCAATACATGCATTATTGCATTAATTGTAGTTTTTATTTACCTTATAATTGATCTTTAATAAATATTCCTTCTTGGCATGATCTCCTATTTTCGTCGTGAAAACGAGACAGTCATAACACCAATTATATAAAGTTCTTGTGGACACAATCTCCACCAGAACAACGAGACACATTTGTGCTAAACCCTGGATCACCTGAGTTCTGAAGGAACTGTTAAACAAGAAAAAGAAAGTCTTCAAGGTGGGATAGAGAGTATTATTGAGGAGAATACTGAAACAGCTCAAAGTCAAGATTGGAGACAGCAAAGAGAATTACAGGAAGAAGCCAAAGAACAAACTACAAGGGAGCGATATCAGAGGTGCTTTGGTCAGGGATGAAGAAGATTACAGGCTTCAAGCAAATATAGGATCTGACAGATGGGAACCTGAATACAGAAAATGAAGTGAACACATTCTCCAACAGGTTCAGTTCAGGAACAAGCTCAGATTCTTTCTCTCCTGTTCCCAGCCAAACCAACATCCCACCCTCCTTTGATCCACAACTTTCCTGTCACAACCCGGACGTTTCATCTCCCACCTCAGTCTTGGACTTCTTTTTCTACAAGTTTGTCTCCAACCAAATCAGGAGATGCTACAGATGGTATTAGATGGTGTGAGGGCTAGAGTCCTGAAAACCTGTGCAGAGCACTTCTTTGGCCCACATGAGTTAGGAAACAAGCTCATATTAGGCCCACGTACAATTTGCTTATCGCCATGGAGTTTGAGTTGAAGAGCCTAGTCATACAACTTCTTCAGCAAACCCACTGCCATCTGGATAAAGCAGGCGGCACTATGAGGATCATGTTCTTTGTTTTTTTCCAGTGCATTTAACTAAATCAGCCAATTGGCTGCTCTGTCAGAAACTCCAGAAGACATTGGCTTAGGTGGAGGCCTCAACAATTGGCTAGAAAGATCAATGACCGAAAGACCACAGTTTGTAAGACTGTGACCACCTGTCTAAGCAGGTGGTCAGCAACACCGGAGGGAATTGTACTCACCACTCCTTTTCACTCTGTACAGTGCTTGTGGCATAGTGTGGGAATCAAATATTAGAATACTTTTCTGAGAGGCATTAAAATTTTATCTCCATCCCCATTTCTTTTAAGACCATCCATTTTCTCACACACTACTGAAGACATACATTTCACAATCCCAAGTGGGATAAAAACAGCAATTGAAAATT